AAGCTATAGTCGAAAGGCTATAAGTGGCCAGAATAATTACCTGGGTATGGTAACAAGTCATAAGATGATTGAAAATGAAATGGGTTATCGCGGATCTAAGTCAGAATTAAATTCTGTAAAAGAGCAACGAGTAGACGGTAGTTGGAGCATTAAAGCCATTTCCAATAAAAAAATGCTCTTAAGGTGTACTCTAATGGGTTTCGAAAGAAATTATCCAGTCAAAATCTCTTCTAAACAATTAAATAAATCTTTTTCTACGGTATCCGCAATTGCGGAAAGTGGGGTAAAAACTTTAAATCCTTGGTTTGTTTCAGGATTTGCCGACGCTGAATCTAGCTTTAGTACTTCCATATATAAAAACAATAAATTAACAACCGGTTATCGTGTAAAATCTTCTTTTTCAATTGGTTTAAATCAACGAGATAGTTTTATATTATATCAGGTACAAGAATTTTTTGGTGGTATAGGTACAATTCGTTTAGATAAAACAGCTAATGCGGTAAAGTATTCAGTAGATAATCTTAAAGATTTAAGAAATATTATTATACCTCATTTTAAAAAATATCCACTTATTACACAAAAGGCAGCTGATTTTATATTATTTGAACAAATAGTTGAACTAATGCACGAAGGTGCACATATTACTATTGACGGTTTACAACAAATAATTAATATTAAAGCATCAATGAATTTAGGTATTTCTGAAACTATCAAATCAGAGTTTAATCAAACTAAACCAGTAAAAAGAACAATTATTCAAACTACTAATATACCTAATCCAAATTGGATTACGGGTTTCGTTAGCGGTGAAGGTAATTTTGATGCTGGTATTAGAAAATCAACGAATATAGTAGGTTCTCGAGTATATTTAAGATTTAGACTAACACAACACACAAGAGATACCCAATTAATGGAGTTAATAATAAAATATTTAGGTGTAGGGAGACTTGAAAAAGATTCAAGAAACCGTGTTGTAACTATAGTAGTAGGTAATTTTTCAAACTTAACTGAAATAATTATACCTTTCTTTAACCAATACCCTATTCTAGGTGTTAAACACTTAGATTATCAAGATTGGTGTAAAATTGCTAATTTAATAAGTCAAGGTTCACATCTTACAATTGAAGGATTTGAAGAAATTCGGGTAATTGAAGCTAGAATTAACCAAGGTAGAAAAAATAAAAAGATTATATAATTGCAAGATAAATTTGATTAACCATGGGTGCCAGAAGACTCGGTAAGACCAGAGACGCGAACGTTAATCATCATAAACAGGCGTAAAGGGTTTGTAGGCAGCTTTGACAGTCTTAATCTAAAATAGCCAAAGTAGATTAAGATCAATTAAAGCTAGAATCAAATAGAGGTTATATTAAATAATACTTAGAGGAGGGATTAAATCCGTAGATACTAAGGGGAATACTAAGGGCGAAAGCATTTTACCACTAATGATTGACGCTGAGAAACGAAGGTGAGGATAGGAAATAGGATTTTGAATTGCGACCTGAAAAGCTTATTTAAGTATAACGAAGTTACTTCGTCATAATAATCCAACTTATTTGAGTTCCACTTAATAGACTAGGTTGGTAACAAACTAGGACTAAAGCTTAAGATTTATTTATAATATTTATAATTAATATTAGAGTAAATAGGAACTGTTTTCTATGGTTAGAGAAATCGAATCTATGTAATTAAAGGTTTTATTAATTAGGTTATTCACGAGTCCTTGGTGAGTATCAGTTGGACAAATGGTTATAAAATCAAAGTAGGAACCTAAGGAAGACTATGACGTACTTAAATAGGAACAGGGAAACTCCTATAATCTGCTTAAAAAAGCAAGGAAATTAGCAATAGTTTCTGATAGATTAGAGGAAACAAGACAGCGTAAAAAGCGAAGGCCATTATGTAATGTAGTGGATAGGCTCATTATCTTATAGATATGAAGATAGCTAATCTGAAAGGATGCAGACTTACGCATGGGTGATTTTAAAGTATTCTTTGAATGTTCCAGTATTAAAGGACATGAAAAACAATACATTATTTTATTTATGGTTAGAGTGGTTTGTAGGATTCTGCGATGCAGATGCCAACTTTCAAGTATTTCCCAAAAAAAGAATCTACCACACAAAAGATAACAAAGTAACAGAATATTATAATTTAGGTTATGGTTTTCACATAGGTTTAAGTATTAAAGCGATCGCCTACTAGAAAAAATTAAAATCAATTTAATGGTATAGGTCATATTTATAGTTATCCTTCACGTGATGAAGGAAGATGGGCTGTAACTAAAAAAAACAGAATTAAAATACTTAATTCAAACTGTTTTATTTTTGTTTTTTTATTAAAAAAAAA